TGATATTTTCGTGAAATGTTCAATCACTATCCTGTGCTAACACCCAGTCCCTTATCTCTAAGTTTGCGAAATTTATGACGATAAAAGTAAGAGCACTTTCAGAAACGTTTACGTTATACGTGCGTGACCAATCACCCCGTGCCCATTCTCATGCGCAGCTTGAAGTTCACAAAAAATCGATAAAACCAGTAATATTAGGATTTGCAAAGGGCTATACATGGTGTCCCAGAAGTAAGTACAAACTTTTTAGTGTTAATTATTCTCTTCCCACAAAGCCTCTCTTGCTTAGCTTTGAGTAATACTCGGTAGAGCGCGCTTCAGTTGACTCACAGTACAGAGCGAATCATCCAGCGCTGCTGGTTATTGTAGAATCACGGTAGAAATTTTCAGCATACAGCGTCATTGTGGACTAGCCGTGTTTCAAAAGAAAATTAAATAATCTGAAAAGTTGTGTTTGATTTTTTCACGCTCATTGATTTTTTTACCTAACTTTGAGTTTGCAGAGCTTTCAAGAACCACAATTCAAGGCATTGTAAAGGCAGCTGTTGCAGTTTGACGGCGTAACTTATGAACAAGATATTGTGATAAAGTGCAAAGTCCATATTTAGTGTCAATGTAGCCTGTAGTAGTCCTGAGTAGCCTAGTGCAAGCATTTTTCGGTTGCTCGGTCTGCTTTATGAGGCGAGTTGGCAATGGCTCAAACCCTTTTTATTTCGTACCGTAATCCCACGGTAATAAAGAGCGTTGGATGAACCGCTTCATACCATAAATCTATTAGAGTTGGAGCGCGCTCTACCAAATGGTACTTAAGTCTAACTCAGACATTAGGTGCCATAGATCCGGAGTACAGTCGAAGTCTTTCAGAGCTGCGGAGGGCCTTCTTAACCATTGTGGAGGCGGGGCGAGGGGTGGTACCTTCTTGTGACGTCACGGTGACGTCACAAGAAGCAGATGGGACCCCTTCCCGGGCTTGCAAATCTCTGCTCCGGAGGTACGCCAGATTTGAGACACCTCCGGAGCACAGTAGGTACGCAGCCAATTTGCTGTAATATGCAGCTTAGCATTTTCGAAAATAAGCTGCCGTGCTTTCGATTTACTCTTTTTTTAATGTTCTTTCGCGCTCGTTTTTCTTTTTTTGGGTTTTTCGTGTTACTCTTCGCGTGTTGGCGTTTATGTTGTTCTATCGTCCGTCTTTTCGCGTTACATGTTTCGGATTTTCATGCGAATTTAATTACTTTTAGTGTTCGGCTCTGTTTTCGACTTGCTGTTCTTTTTCCGAGTTCTTTATCGTTCTTTTTCTTTTTCGCGTCGCTCTTCGGCGACAGTTTTGGCGTTTATGATGTTCAATTTCCTCCTCCTCAAATTTCAAGTTTTAGGTTTTCGTGCGGATGCACTTTAAACCATCACTTTTGGTGTCTAGCTGATTATCTGTTGTAGGGACACGTTCGTGTGCATGTCTATTGGCTGTAGATTGTGATAGATTTTCGAATTTTCTTCGTATTCTTTAACGGCAAGACAATTTCACGTTAATTCTGGTGGGTTTTGGTCATTTGTTTTGATTTTTTGTTACAAATATGGCTATATTTTATATCTTATGGTATTATATCTTGTTATCTTGTTATCTTATGACGTTTTTGCACAATTTGGTGAAGATAACTGTTTTCATTTGTGAAGTGGATGAGGATGGATTACTTTGTTCCTTTAAATTTTCAGTAAATGATTGATAGGCTTTTTAGGAAGTCACCCATAGTCGGCTGAAACAATCTGAACTCGAATCGTACTCTGCCTGCTTTGCCGAGTATAAAAAATGGTGCCGACGCAAAACGTCCAGCTTCTTCAATTCCATATCCTGAGCTTTTCCTACAGTATGCAAAGGTAGAGGAAGCGTGAATTTCTGTTGGAGTGCTTTCAGTGGGTATTTCAGGCTACACGCTCAGTGATCCCCCTTACAAAGATTGCTTTTCCTGAGATGTGTGATCCTGATGACGACATAGGCCCGTAGTAAAGCTCGGTCACGGGAGATACCTCCCCTGAGGCCCTCATATGAGGCTTTGTCGGGTGAGATGAGGACTGCCCACTTTTCCGTGGTAGTATGCAAGGTCACCCTACAGGTGAGCTTCAAATGAATCCCGGCAGGGAGATCAGCTCCCGACCGAGTCATTGGAGATGAGCTGGGCGACGACATAAGGTAAATACTGTGCTAAAGAGGAGAGTTCAGAGAAAACCTCCGTAAGTTGCTCCCGAGTAACTTACGAAACATCGCAGCTGACGTTCTTTTGCGGTGCAAAACTCCCAAAACTGCACAATTTCGGGCGCCCAAGTGAGTGAGGATCGATGAACAGCTGATTGCGCGACGAAATGGAAAAAAGATTTTTTTGCATTTTTCTTGCAGTTGTTGCTCGTTTTTTTCAAAGAATCGCTTCAGGTAACAAGAAGATAAATTTACCTTCCTAGTCATTTTTCGCTAAATGTATTTTTTCCTCGTATGATTGCAAAAAAGGGTGTGATTGTTTTATCTTGTTATTTGCCAGGAGGAATCTCTGATAGCGGCTATCATCGATTTTTTCGACAGCGGCCGCTGTCAAAGATCGCCAGGCCAAGTAGCAAAAACGGTGTCGCTAGATGCACTCGTGCCACTGCACTCCCGTTTGAAAGACATTGGTCTTATTTATTTGACTATTAATGCACAAATGGCAGAAACGTTCCAAAAGAAAAAACGTTTTTTGAAAACGCGAATGTCCAGTCAGTGATCCTGCCCCGAATCAATCGCTCCCCTGGCAATGTGCTGAGGCGCGATGAGATCAACTCCGGTCCGGTTCAAAAGAGATGCCCTGATGGGGGTTTTTGCTACGGGCCATATTACCACGGCAACCGCTTTGTGATAATGGGATTAGCATGAGGTAAGGCTTAGGAAAAGTTCGATAAATTGCCTTCAGCTCAAAGGCAGCGTCCAAGCGAATTCGAAACTTGGACTTTGTCTATACTGGTTGGGAGGGAGGGGTTGAATTAGTGATTTTCCAAGGGGCAGCATAGAAAAATCATTCCTGGCTTCAAGGCAAATGTCTGGCCCCTGCCGTACCGGAAGACGCACGAACTGATTCTATCACCAAAGATTAATCAAGAGAAGGAGCATTATCTGTGGTTTCATTTTGAGATGAAAATTCCGCTTTTTAAAGTTTGACATCCATGAAGTTTATTTCAGATAATATTGTAAATAATCTTTTATACTTTCGAGATTATCAATTGTTTTTTTTTTCAAGAAATGCAAACTGTTATGTACTCTGTTTGTGATGCTCTAGCTGGACATCGCGGATGGGTTCGCGCTGGTGAGACAGTATGCTATTATCGTAATCTGTACAGCTCGGGTGAAGACAGCGACGCTGATGAGAGCAATTCCAGGAAACGGTAGGTCATGAGTTTTGCTATTTTTCGTGTATAAATTTTCCTTGATTTTTCTAGTGGTTTTTACTCGATTCAATATAACTTGTGGAATAAAGGTGATATATGTTATTTTGCTTGTCATTCTCCCTATACTTACTCCTTTCTTAAGGTAGTCTCGCAGCTATGCGTAATCTCACCTCCATTTTTTGCAGAAACCATCTCCAGATGTCTTTCTCAATTACCCTCTAATGTATACTGCTCAAATGATGTCATAGGAGAATCTCTTGGAGGAAACTCGTTAAATTTACTTATTGTAACCGCGGAAGGTACACGAGAGCAGAACAGCAGGGATATAGTATTTCTGAGCTCTCGGGTTCATCCTGGAGAAAGTAACTCGAGTTGGATGATGCATGGTTTGTACTCATCAATCATCTTCATCAATAAAGAGGCTCTCGTACATGAATTTGTCGATTTTAAATGTTTTGAAAAATATAGCAATGGGTCTTGCAACTAAATTTCATTCAAATCATTTGGGTAAAGTTCTCGCGAGACTCCTCCGGAATTTTTCTGCTTTCCAATGAATCCGAGACTGCTGCCGTAGATCAGAATGTTTCGCAGCCAATTTTCTACACGCCAATTTTGTTATTGTTAACCAATTTTCTTGTGTAACGTGTACTTATTTTCTCAGAATTTCACAGTTTTCGATGCTTCCCGATCAATGATCCATGCTAAAAGATTTGCAAGATCATAAGAGTAGATAAAGATTTTGTGGTTAGACACATCTGAAAGAAAGTTTTTAGAAGGCTATGATAGTGGGAGCGCCACTCATCGTCTAAATGACTCTTGCGGTGCTCGAATCCAAGAAGGAGTAGATTCAGGAAAAAGAGTGCAGAAGAGTACTCGCAAAACGTGAGGAGCGATGAGAAGTCTAAGGATGAGCATTTTGGACATCAAAATGAAGGGAATTTGCAATTTGCAGTAAATTGTTTTGCGGTTATTTTGAATGTCTCGTTTTTCTTCAGTCTTCTATCTTGCTATCTACAAACGCTAGGGATGAGAGGGAGGGGTAGAGAACGGCGTTGAGGGTCGCGCTGAAGTCCTACCCGGAAAGGGGGGAGGTCGTATTCGGCGGTCGTATGCCACACGTTTGCTCGACTCTGGTCTGGAGCTAATTTGAGTGGGGTTTAGAGACATAATTGGGGTCTGGAGCTTAATTAGGGCTAGTTACAGTATGCCGCTGCAGACTTCCAGAGCACAAAATGGGAGGTCTCCGGAGCGAGTGGCAAACCCCCGTTAGGCAGAGCCCGCGACCCTGCCATTTCTGCTCCAGAGGTATGCCGTCAACTGTCTGAGAAGCAAAAGACTTGTGCGAAGAGAGTTAACACTTGAAAAGTGTGTACTTATCGAAAACAACTGTAATATTCATAAACCAAACTCAATGACTCTGTGGCAACCAAGTCCGTAGCTCGAATTTTGCAAAAAATGAACAAATTGATTTTGATCGATAACGAAAAATGCACGCGCTCTGCCCAGAGATTTATGTGTGCAAAGTCTGGTTCGAATCAATTCAGAAAAATGAGCTTTCTATCCAACGCATACACAATATTAACTCGATTAATTTAGGGAGATAGATAAGCACCAAAAGCCTGTCTCTTGAACATATCAGCAATATACCTTGTAATAAAGGGTACGTAGCTTTTACTGCATTTTTCGGTAAACCTTCCAGGCATTTGCAGACCATCGCTCATTTGCAAAATAGCCCAAAGTAGCTCGTCTGTACCGTACACCTGAAGTGATACACATAAAGATTTCAGAGTTTTGTCCCTTAAACTCCATGAAAGAGCTATCTTGTAATGTTGCCAACAACATGATATTTATATCTGCCGGCCTAAAACTTACACTACGTTTACGCAATCTTGCTTAAGTTACGCAGCCTTCGTAGCCGATTTATCTTGTTGCTGGTAAGAGAAATTGTGAGTCGATGAAACGCATTACATAGAACACGCGCAAAGCAAGCGCGATGTCATGATAAAATGTTCGAGTTAGGAGATTTTTGGACGACAGCCAGATGAGTGAGAAGGCAGCGATGTACTACTTCTTTGTTCTCCATAATCAATTTTAGAATTATTCAGCAAGACGTTTGCATGTCTGATTGACATTTCAAATTTTCAGATTCAGAAAAGAAATGTACCCACAGTCGGTTTCGACCGCATGTAAGCCGAAGCGCTTCGTGTTAAAGGCAGTGGCTCGACACAACTAAACATCTCAAAATTTTGATTTAAAAGGCTGCCTGAACCACGAACATGAGAACAGAGCAGGTCCGAGCGCACAGCATGCTGTCCCTGCATAGAGAATGCCCAAACCCGTGCGCTCAAGCCATTCTTACATGCCCTCGGACGAGCTCGCGATGTCCCACCGTCGGAGCACGCATGCCGCAATGAACCACAAGGGTTCCGCAACGAATCCGCTTCCCTAACTGTGTCGGGAACTGTTCACTCGTCTAAATTCACAATGAGGGGCCCCGGGTTGACTTTTGTCATTTTCGCACTCTCCAAGTTAGATTTTCGGGATCACGCGTGAATTAACAGATAAGCAAAAAAGGTCGAAGATTCCGCAGGGATGGAGAGGAGGGAGACGCTGGTGTGGGACTGTTACGGTTTGATGCAGTTGCTGTCGCGATACGGCGACGTCACGCGAGGTGGCGCTTCATCTCAAATTCTGCCTAAACTGGGTTGAAACACTTGATTAAAAAAAACAAAGGAAGTCGTTAGTAACGGCTTTTTAACATATCCACAATATCTAGCAAAGTCGGCGATCCGCTTCTCAAAAAAAAATGACTGTAGCGAAATGGAAGAAAAGGTGGCAATCTTCTTCGATTTTTGTAACCAACTCCACTTTCAGCTTCAACATCACATTGGGAGTTCTGCCTAGGCAGTGAGTAAAGCGTTTTTCTTATTCGCCATTATCACATAAATGCTAAAAAGGGTGTCAAAACCCTAGGAAGTGAAGTAACAGATGATACAGACCATACCACACAGGCAAGGCGGTACTTGCTTCTTTGCTTTTGTCTTCCCAAACCAAATCGGAGGGACTCAAAATTACCGCGGCTTTTCATGTAAGATGTTTAGGGAAAAAAACCTCAAAAAGCTGATCTCAAATTAGTTATGGACGTTTGTTAACGAAGTTGCACTATTGCAAGAATCTAATTGACTTTATTGTTTGTTGATCTACTCTGCTCAATCGAAATAAGCACAATAAACGAATTCATGATTAATGTCGTTTTCTAGCATAAAGCAGGCAACTTGAACAGCAATAATGACTTTGGCTGCTTGGTAAAACTCTATGACTGAACGCTAGAAACGCCAATTACTTCCTTCATACAATTAATTTGTATATATATAGTTAACACAGATTTGAAATCAGTGTTCAGAGGCAAGAATTCCCAAAACATCTCACATGGAAGGGCGCGGTGACTCGGTTTCTTCGTTTCTACTTTCGCGCGTTGCAGAAGTTATGAAACGCATTGACGCGAGAAGAAAAAAGTTTGCGCCTTTTCGGACTCTTTCAATCTTTGGACAGGACATTTCTACAGGAACCCAACAATGGAAGAGACGTATGCATACGGTTACTGTGTAAAACATTTTTTTCTTGTTTCATAAGGGTTCTCGAAAAAAGGAAGTGTACGTTCCACATTTTTCTTCTGACCTGTTGATTCGGTTGAAAGTTTCGTAAAGCGTAGCGCTGTAAATTAGCCTCGCAACAATCAGCAATACAACTCTGCGGATACATGATCGCATCTTCAAAACGAGTTTAGTTGCAAACGCAGGATTTCTAATCGATGCCATAAAGGTATCAAATCTCCCGTAGCCAACAGCTACCTAAAGGCAATTTCCGGGCAAAAACTCAATTTTTAGAAAATCCAATTACCAGGGTTATCCGCAACGCTGAAATCCACATCAGAAGGCGCGAAAGCGGGAGAACATGCGTTTTCCGAAGCCTTGCAATTTTGAAGTTCGACGGTCCCCGCAAAGGCTGAGACGCAGAGTCGCTGCGGGACCCTACATTTTAACTGTGGCGGCATGCGTACTCTGCCGCATAGCAGGAATTCGGACAGCTCGGATGATCCCACCCCAAGGCGTAAGTTTCCCCAATTCCCAATCATTTTCTTACTTCAGGTCGAACATTAGAACCTCCTACTTGCGCGATGCTGCGTCTGAGGGGGTTACTTTCGCATGGCACTGAAATCACAAAAACCCCATCTTGTCCGGACTTTAAGTGAAAAGGCAGCCAGTAGCACGCCTTCGCTTTTTGCATGCGCATCCCAGGCCATTTTTTCATTGGAGCAAAGATGTCATTATTGCTAAACAGTAAAATTTAAATATCGTAGATACTTACACGAGTGTTGATCCGGTTGATAAGCGTAGTTAGGTCAACGGTATTGACAGCCCAATCAACAGCAGCTCTGCTTATCGAAGATTGTACTATTCCTCGAACAATTGTCAAATTAGTAGCTAACTGTGAGGCTGTTGCTAATGACTCTGAAACTATGCCTTTGTTAGATTCAAGTCATGAGTTGCTAAGTTACCATTATGGAAGAGCTTCAATGTGCGCACATTCCAATTTGCTGTGTGATTCCATCTAAACCACTCACAAGGTCTTGAGCGGATGTCATTCGCACCGTTAAGCGCTTCTAGAATTGACACAGTCTCGTATACGGATTTGATCATCATGTCGTAGTTCTGGAATTACTGCAGACTACGCACTTATTCTACAACAAAATGTTTCTTTCGAGGTAGTCAGGTAGCAGACCTGAAGTAATATGGCGTATTGCCATCCTTCGTGCTTGGAAAGTAGCTTAAGACAATCGTAGTGGGCTTGATTCATATTCTCTCCTCTACTATCTATCGAATAGCGCACTGAATTGCATTAATTCAAAAGAACTACAACCTGAATCCCTGAAATTGTTGTTTGCAATATGTCTTACATTATCGCAACGAATTTTAAAAAATCAAATTTGTGTTATTTGTTCCATTGTTGGTGAAAAACTTTTGTATAAGTTCAGAAATTAAGACTAGCACAGAAATACAAGAACTCTTCAACAGAATAAGTACGAAGCAGCGTTCTTAAAGACGAACAATCCAATCAGATAAGTTTATGCTTTGTCGCATGCGCGAAAGTAAGAGTCACGCGAAAGGCATTTCCAGTTTGATAAGCTCGGTTGTAGAACGTTAAGCAGAGGTGACTGTTTACTGACAATATTTTATGTGGTATTGAATGAGAGAACGCACTTGGAGAAATCAGTACGTTAGGCAGACAAATCGAAAGCGCAAAAATGTTGGAATAGAATTCATTCTCGGCCTTCGCGTCTACAGAGAAGCAGAAGATATTTTGCGGGTGAAAGCTGGCCCTGAGTTCGTCTTCTATGAATTCATAACCCTGAAATAAGTAATGGATCAAAATAAGAGAAAAACTTATATTGCATGTATCTTTTTTTGGATGCACTACACGCCGAAGTGTTTTCGATATTGAAAGAATTTAATCTAACAAGGAAAGGACCCTCGGTCGAAGTGGGGTTCCCACACGTGATACATATCATTATGCTCGTCTTGAGGCATTAACGCCAAACCGTGTTCCTTAGCTGCTCAATGATCTTCTGGGAAAAGTTAGGAGTGATGGTTTCCTCAGGGTGACCATCGATCGCTTGAGTTAGCGGCGCCGGGAAATGTCAGCTGTGTAGGGATGGTCGAGTGGATAGATGCGGAGACTATAAAGAAAGTGGTAAAGTGTTCGGGATACTTATGTTTCAAACATTTTTGCAATTTGCAAATTATTTAACGGGTGCCGGGTGTTTCTCTGCCTTAGAGCCCTCTAAGGATACATAGGATACATATCAAACAAAACAATCTACAAAATGGAAGAATGTTTGGAACAAAAGTATTCCGAACTTTTTGCCACTTCCTCCAGAGTCCCCACAGTTATCCACTCGGCCATCCCTCCAAAACTGACATTTCTCGGCGCCGCTAACTTAAGCGATCCGTGGTCATCCTGTGGAAACCGCCACAGGATGACCAAAGATTCAACAGACACTTCGTAACTTTTCCCAGAAGATCGCTGAGCAGCTAAGGAACACGGATTTGGTATTAGTGCCTTAAGACGAGCACAATGATATGCATCAAGTGGTGAACCCCACTTCGACCGAGGGTCCTTTCTTTGTAAGAACGCCAAGTGAAAGACTTTTTACTCTTTAGTTCCTGAATTCTGGTAGAAAACCAACTACTTCTCAAGTGTGTCTACTCTCCTTTACTATTTATTATATTAGGTTGTCCTAAAAGTTCTTGCGCCGGATTTTCAAAAAATCATAACTTCCTTTCTTCTCAACAATTTATCTCAAAATTATTTTTCTATGAAAGAGGGAAGCTTTTTCTTTATAGCGGTGCCTTTGCCATGAATTAGCGTTGGTAAGTTCGAGAGTTAAACGCAATTGAAGGAAATTAGTTAAAATCGACATTTTTCAAGCTGAATCACGAAAAATTCTGGAAGTATTTTTATTTGATAAAGAAAATTTTGCACATTACAGTGGTACCTTTTTCATGAATTAAAACGAAGTAGATCGAGAGTTAGAAGCAAATAAAAAAAATTTCTTTACTTTTGCAATTTTTGAACATGCTCCAAAAAGCTTGAAAACATCACAGAAAAGGCGAAAAAGCCATAAACATGGGTTTTGCAACCTTCTCTTTTAGCTGAGCGAAAATCGTGCCAATCAGAAGCAATTTTCATTTTCGTGAAAAAAGCAGGCCCGAAAATCCGAATAAACCACGAAAATCAAAATTGCTCCCGATTGGCACGATTTTCGCTCAGCTAAAAAGAGAAGTTTGCAAAACCCATGTTTATGACTTTTTCGCCTTTTCTGTGACGTTTTCAAGCTTTTTTGATTATGCTGAAAAAATGCAAAAATAAAGAAATTTTTTTATTTGCTTCTAACTCTCGATCTACTTCGTTTTAATTCATGAAAAAGGTACCAGTGTAATGTGCAAAATTTTCTTTATCAAATAAAAATACTTCCAGAATTTTTCGTGATTCAGCTTGAAAAATGTCGATTTTAACTAATTTCCTTCAATTGCGTTTAACTCTCGAACTTACCAACGCTAATTCATGGCAAAGGCACCGCTATAAAAAAAAGGTTCCCTCTTTCATAGAAAAATAATTTTGAGAAAATTGTTGAGAAGAAAGGAAGTTATGATTTTTTGAAAATCCGGCGCAAGAACTTTTAGGACAACCTAATATATTCGAATTATACAAGGTGTCCCAAAAGTAGATACACACTTTTCAATTGAGGAGGCTTCAACTTAGATTTGAAGTATCGAGCGAATCACCTATCATTCTTCATTACTGTAGGATTACGGTACGAACTTCGACAAGGATTTTAGCCCATTGGAGGCCATATTCTGCCTCGGAACAAGACCAAACAAGCCAAAAAATTCCTATGCTACGGCAGTGGGAGCCGCTGATTTCGAATTTGAAATTTCCGCTTTACTGTGATGCTTCTTTCTCAAGTTATCCCGGGTGAACCGTAATAACCGAATTCCCAGTACTTGTCAAAAATGTGATTACACCGTTAAAAAAGCTGAAAACACTCGTAAAAGTTGTGTTGTGAAATCAGCGTGCGCAAAAATTCTAGTAGACATTTTCAGATTTTTTGCAGAAAGTTTTGTCAGATGGCATATTTCACAATGGTGTCACATGCTGGAAGTTCTTACCGTGATCCTACAGTAACGAAGAGCGATCAATGTTTCGATCGATACTGTAAATCTAAGTTGAAGCCTCCTCTACAGAATGGTACTTAAATGGCAAAGAAAGACCCATTGGGAAGAAAGATGTTGACGATTGAAAAGTGTGTACTTACTTTTGGGACACCCTGTATATCGACATATAATATTGTATTTTTACGCGAAATTAGGTTAATGCAAAAATAGTAGTTCCGAATTCTCACTTTGACCTGCTATAACTTTCTGAAATATCCACATGTCTGAATGCGATAAAGACAATCAAGAGCAGCGAACCTTTTACAATACCGTACGTACATGTATTTGTACTCACACCACAAACGGGCAGGGAAATGGATTGAGGATAAAAAAGTTTTCCTAAAATTTTATTTCTGACAATTCACAGCTCCTTTCAAGGTTTGCTAGCATAAATTATAAATTGCCTGTCTTGTAGCTGCAAGCCACTTGGATAAGCGAAAATGAATAAGCTTAAACAAAAAAGGTTTGCAAAGAGAAACAGATCAAAATGTAAAATCAGTTTTTCCAACATTTTCTAAATAGGCCTCAAAGTCCTGGATTATAGAATTTTCTGATCTTCCGACTGCCTTCTTTGAAGAAAATTTTTTTCTGGGTCAAATAACCGCAACGGCTACCCATGATGAGGTGCCGTCTCAGTCTAGATAATTTATAGTTAAGTGTGCATTATGTAGACAATTTCTTGTGTATACATAATGCACACAATTTATCTGGATAATCGAAGAAGCGCCATTCGTTCGCAGTTAAATCCTGGTCAGAAAAGTAAATGCAATGAAATTTCTAATTTTGGATATGGTTTTTCAAAGTTCTGTAATAACTTCTTAACAAATGAGAATGAAAGCCAGCTTCAGCACCCATCAGATAAAGCATGAAAAGAGCCTTTCAATGGAATGTTGCATCTGCTTTGAAAATAAAAATTTGAAAAAAAATTTTTGTGGTAAAAGGCTTAAAAAAACAAAAATTAATCATTATTTGTGCATCAACTCAATACTATTGTATAAGACTCATTCTCCAGCTCTTTATATGGTCTTCAGATAATCCCCGGAGGCCCACTTTCTTTTCTTTAAAGTCATTCTTTCTCAAGGCAGTGTCCAAAAAATCGGGGAGCATGGGTTTTTTTGTCCGAAAACTGACGAGAGGGTCCTAGCTAAGTCAAACTGCAGCTTAAATTATTTAATCACGGCTGAGAAGTCCGTCCCGAACACCCCGCACCTGCCCCGTGACGGTAACTCGCAAGTATATCAGGATAGGTCCCAGCGCGAACGTAATGTTTTGTGAGCGAATCATTTCCGGGTTATGGTCACGGCGCAGGCGCGGAGGTTTTGGGGACAAATTTCTCAGCCTTAAATGAACCATTTGCTTCGCCGTTTGGGCAGTACCTTAGTTATGGGCCCCCCTCATCGGGTTTCAGGTGAAAAATCCATCTGCCCGAGTTGTCTGGACACTAACTTCAGGTTGGTGAAGCATTTCATAGTTATTGTGCCACTATAGGGCAACTATAACACTGGGAGCTAACACAACACGTTGCGTTTACAACACATTGTATTCTGACGTGAAGAAGCTTACAACAGAAGAGCCCCGTTGACCCCCGACCCTCCCGCTTTACTGCGGGATGATTAATGTATAGGTCACTTCGGCCACAATACGTAGCAAATAGCAGAACAGTTATAGTGATTATCTCACTAACTGTGGTTAGCATGTTTTTGATAGAAACAACATGTTTGTCAGTTAATAAAGTTTCAATAAACCGCAAGTCGAAATTTGAAGGAAATCTCGATATGCCACTAGTTCAATTCTTTTTTGTGGCCATGCACCGTTGGGTTAGGCAAACAGTAAAACTTTGAGATCTCTTCATTATTTCAGTTTAAAATGGCTTCAATAATAAAAATTTTGACCGTAATCATTGGGGATCATACAAAAAGCTAATGCTGCTGAAATAGCTCCACTCAATATGTTTATAGCAAAGGTAGAGTAACATTTGAAAATCGTGAGATCGGATGTACTAGATCTTTAAGTTACGAAACTTTCTTCTGAAGACAGGTCCGCGCAAGAAGTCGATTTTGAGACCTAGGGCGTTAGGTATCAAACGCCCGTCCGTGGAAGGCTTCCCATTCAGGTAGTGTCCGCCTTATAGCTCGATGCTGTAGGGATCTGTGTTCTTCCTTGTTTGTCCATTTTTTGGGGGCCCTACTAACCTGATATTGTAGCTTAATGAATAGCAGCACTTTGCTGTGTAAGCCGATAAACCTCTGCTCGCGAGTTGAGGTTTACCAAGAAACTTAAAATTCCACATTTCATCCACGCTACTGAAAACATGCTTAGCATCACACTAAGTTTTTAGCACAACTTTACGAGGTTTCTATTGAGGTGTTTTGAAAATCAATGACTTTCAAAATGAGCGTTTGGGATCATACAATGCACCGAATAACTCAGTTCATACAGCAAAGTGCTGCTATTATCATGCTACAGTTTTAGGGTAGTAAGGCCTTCAAAATATGGACAAACAAGAAAGAACACAGATCTCTAGAGTATCAAGCTTTGAAGTGAATACTACCTGAGTGGGAACTCCCACCCGGACATCAATACATACCGCCCCCTGGGCTATTCGCTATGCCTAATCCGGAAATCCACACTGAAAGGCGCGAAAACGGCACACTCTCACGTAGGGAGAATTCAGCAGGTAGGCGAGGTCTTCAAACTGTGAAGTCGCTCTCTCAGCTATGTCGATGTTCTCGCTTCCGCCAGCTGCTGTAAATTCGTTACCGGCCAAGTGCAACCGCCTTGAAGCCGGACCGAGAGGATTGCTCCGGAAGTTGAAGAGTAACTCCACAGACTGAAGACCACGTCTTCCAGCTGATTGCTCCCTGCCTTGAAGCATTATTCTCCATTTCGCCCTGAGGTGTAGATTCTCGAATTTAGCATAATGAATAGGCCCAATTAGTCAAGAAATCTCACAACCTATTTCTTGTTCGAACGCTGCCTTCAAGCTACGTTCCCCTCCTCGGTGGGGATGTTCATGCATTCGGTTTAGAGTTTGGACACAAATCAAAAAATTGCTTACAAGGGAATGGTCAGAAGTCGAAGTGGCCAAACCAAACAAGCTGTATATCATTCATGCAGTATAAAACGCTGACTTCGAATTTGTCTTCCTTATTTGCTTATCGCTTCTGTGGACGAAGCTACAAGCAGTTTTATTGTGAAAAAATCATACATAAAAACAGCGAAATTGAGCACATTGTTGCACTCTTAGCTCATCTGTCTTAGCTCTCAAAAATTTGAAGCAAGCTAGCTGCATGTTTTGGCCCAGCATTAAGGCGAACGTGGCTCTGTACGGCTAAATTTTCAATTTCACTAAATTCTTAGCAAAATAATGGTCTTTGATGGCTTATAGCTTCCTCCAGAAAAGCGATAGGTAAAGAAGACAAATTTAGAGTCAGCGCTTCATGCTGCATCTAATGGTATATAGCTTGTCTGGATTGGCCACTTCGATTTCTGACCATTCCCTTGTTAGCTTCTGGTTACCTCAAATTAATTCTACGCACTTTTCACACTTTAATTATTCGATGTTTCTTCAGAGCATCAGCTGTGTATGTCTGTCTTGACAGTCTGAGCAGCAACTACTTGAGCAATATCTTCGGGCAACAACCTAGATGAAAAACAACTCTACTGCGGGCCTAAGTTGAACTTACGGCTTAGTCTATATTGATTTGGATGCGGATCTTTTTTTGACAACATAATCGTGCACGTAGCCAAGGAGCATTTTTACTGTTTGAGCAATTTTGATCAGCTGGGAAAATGATTGTGATTCGACTCGCACGTCCACGGCTCCAAACCAGTTGGTGCCACAGTTTTCGTTGCATAGTCGGGCAATCTTCAATAGTTTACGCTATCGAAAAACTCAAGATCAACGCTATTATAGATGTGATAAGCGTAAGGATGGATAAAACAAAGACACATTCAAAATCGAGAATTGAAGCGACCTCTGCAAAAAACTTATTTTCTTTTTTTCCCGGCTGCAGTCACCTGTTCATCGACATATTCTATCCGTAACCTAAATTGCGCCATTTTTACACACTTGTCGTCCCTATTAGGTCATTTTACGCGTCTAAATTATTCAGCAGCAGCTAACAGGATTTTTATCTGAATCTCCACCTCTGAACACTATTTCGTCACTTCAACTTACCTTCAACTTGGGCGATACTCGACTGGCCGTGGAACTGGGGCGGACGGTCTTTTGGCTGGTGATAGGGTGGGCGAAATTCCAACTGTCTAACTTCTTCTAAGGGGATTCAGCTTAATTTAAATAGGCTGACTGGTAATTTACTGCGAGGCAAAATTTTAACTCCAAAACAAATCATTACCTTATATCTCAATGCGGATTTACCCAGCAATTTTATTGAAGAGAAAATATTTGTAATGATATCTTATATATAAAAGGAATGTCTGTTTGTCTGTATGTCTGTCTGTCTGTCTGTCTGTATGTATGTCTGTGTGTACGTATGTTCCGAATAGAAAATTCCATTTCTGAACCGATCCGGACCAAACTTGGCACACATACACTACGGGCCCCGGCGGGTGTCATAGGCTACTTTTCGTCATCGATCGATATCGATTTTATCGATTTTTATCGATTTTTTTGCTGAGTTCACCTACGGGGCTGGGAGTTTGCACAGGGGGGTAATCGAGCATGGGGATTCCGAATACAATATTGGTTTTCAGGATTATCGATTTTATCGATTTTTTTGCAAAGTTTGAGCTACGGGGCTGGGAGTTGGCACAGGGGGGTAATCGAGCATGGGGATTCCGAATACAATATTGGTTTTCGGGATTATCGATTACTTTTATCGATTTTATCGATTTTTTTGCAAAGTTTGAGCTAGGGGGCTGGGAGTTGGCACAGGGGGGTAATCGAGCATGGGGATTCCGAATACAATATTGGTTTTCAGGATTATCGATTACTTTTATTGATTTTATCGATTTTTTTGCAAAGTTTGAGCTACGGGGCTGGGAGTTGGCACAGGGGGGTAATCGAGCATGGGGATTCCGAATACAATATTGGTTTTCGGGATTATCGATTACTTTTATCGATTTTATCGATTTTTTTGCAAAGTTTGAGCTAGGGGGCTGGGAGTTGGCACAGGGGGGTAATCGAGCATGCTGATCATCCCCAAGGGGGGTGATCAGCATGCTCGATTACGTCCCTGTGCCAAATTCCAGCCCCCTAGCTCAAATTTTCAAAAAATCGATAAAATCGATAAAAGTAATGGACGATCCTGAAAACTAATATTGTGTTCGTAATCAGCATGCTCGATTACCCCCCTGTGCCAAATTCCAGCCCCCTAGCTCAAATTTTCAAAAAATCGATAAAATCGATAAAAGTAATGGACGATCCTGAAAACTAATATTGTGTTCGTAATCAGCATGCTCGATTACCCCCCTGTGCAAAATCCCAGCCCCGTAGCTCAAACTTTACAAAAAAAAATCGGTAAAATCGATAAAAGTAATGGACGATCCTGAAAACTAATATTGTGTTCGTAATCAGCATGCTCGATTACCCCCCTGTGCAAAATCCCAGCCTCGCATGTCAAACTTTGCAAAAAAATCGATAAAATCAATAAAAGTAATCGATGATTCTGAAAACTAATATTGTATTCGGAATCCCCATGCTCACTTCCCCCCCTGTGCCAACTCCTAGCCCTGTAGGTGAACTTTGCAAAAAAATCGATAAAAATCGGTAAAATCGACATCGATCGATAACGAAAAGTGGACTGTGACACCCGCCGGGGCCCGAAGTGTATGTGTGCCAAGTTTGGTCCGGATACGGCGGAGCCGGGTAAGCCAGCTAGTAATCAAATAAAAAAAATGGGATGTAAATGTAATCAGGGTCAAGCGTGTTGATGCGACCCTAACCCTCTTTTACGACCCAAAAATCGTACTTTAGAGGAAGAAAAATGTACTTGCAAATTGGGAGTTAATGCAAGCAATAGGTTTTTGAAAAACAATAATTTTGTGTAGATCAAGTAAGTAAGGAAATTCCGAAGATCTGGCTATGCGGTATTGTGGTCGCGAAAAGATTGATGGAAAGGATATCAAGTGATTGACGATGAATGACATTAACTTTAGCCTGACACCAACATTTGAGTTGTGACTTGTTAGACATTGAATCAGAAACGGTAAATAACGAATAGGAAAAATTCAGGAGTACAGAGCGGTTTATTTCAGTTGATATAATTGATAGTTTTATTACAATTCATTTTATAATAAAAGTTAAGACATTTTTCTGCGATTTATGAGTGTTTAACACAATTCCTTCATGTTAAAATGATCGCACTGAAAGACGTTTATTCTGGTTCTGGATATTAAAACGCTTTGAACTATGATGATAGCCTGGAATTCGATATTCGTGCGCTACATTATTTTTTGCAGGAAGAAAATACTAATTTTGAAGTGTAAAGAATGTTTGCGAGTGAAGAACTTATTTTCCACTTTCCGGTTTTAGCGCCTTCAAGTGCGATATCAGAAATTTGCATGAGCAGGTATTTTGAGAATTCGTAACTAACGTCAGGGAAAGGCTGAGAGGTTGCGGTAGCAATTTTTTGGTAGAGTGCCCATACAACTGAAGATAAAAATTGCAGCCACTCAGAAGCAGTGAGCACAAAAAAATTTGGATGCGACTTTAGCAAATTAGATGCAAGCGATCCTGAAAACCAAAAAGTGGGATTTATGAGCTCAGAATTTTGTAACTCACTGGAGACCGTACGAAACAGCTTGAAATTCCAAGTTGTTCTTGGTGTTACCTATTATTTTATCGACTTTATCGATTATTTCAAAATTTGAGCTGAAGGGCTGGGAGTTGGCACAGGGGGGTAAGTGGGTCTGCTGATTTCGAAAACAATACAGGGAACGGGAAATAAAGTGTAGAAGTGGGCACAGGGAAAGGCTGTACAGAGATAGGAATGGGACCTTTATTAAGTGTTTTGACAGGGCCGAGCGGAGCCGGGTAAGCAAGCTAGTAATCATATATAGTCCTCCCAAAATGTCCAGAGTTGTTAACGATAAAAAGATTTTTCCTTGACAGCAAAGATTTTTGGTGAAAAATGTCAGCATATATCGTTTTTTACCTCATAGACAACACGAGCGTACGCCACACCAAACTCGAGTTTCCTGAGGCTTCTCGGAGGTAGTATACGGGCCCTCACTTCTGTGCAGGACATGTTCAACTTGCGGTTTCGTAGCTTCGGACGATCATGTATGATGTTTTTGGTGTACACCTCAGACATGCTTTGATGTATACATCATACAATGATAACATCATATTTTCAATGCTGACCTCGTCTCCACTTAGTATTCTTCCACACGACAAATGCTCTGTTTCAGGTTTACGACGAAACACGGATGCAACCTCGATTTTCGAAGAAAGTTGGTAAGCGCTTTTGAACTGCAAAATCTGAAATAATTTTTTGTTTCAGAAACCTTTTTTGCACAACATAAAGGCAATTTCTAGCCTTGCATTATTTCAAAACAGTGTGAAATCAGCGCTATTGTCATTATGAATTTTTTGTAAAAGTAGTCAGATTAATATGTTCATAGAAATTGTCAGATATATGTTTTACATATGATTAATATATGTCCGGTAAAATAACAAATCTGTTCATTGTATCCTTCATTTGTGTGTGAATCTGCTTACAGTTCAAATATGTTCTCTAAAGTAAATGCCAGACTTATCAGGTTCAACCGGGGGTTTGGTTCGCCCATTCGCTAATGATCAAATTACTGAATTGCCCAATATGGATTGAGTTGTATAGGCTAGCATCTACCTAAGCACTTGGGTCGCCTCACGATCGCTTCTTGAGATTGCTCTTGAAGCAGTGCGACGCAGCGTCGTACATGGGAGACGGTCGAGTGACGCGTATTGTTCGGTTGTCACTAACTATTAGAAACAAAACAGAAGTTCAAAATTCTATTGTTCTCTTCAGATTTCACCCACATTTTCTTTGCTAGACTTTTTTATATATTCACAAGATTTGCGAAGTTTGAAAACCCTGATTTTGTGGAAGTCGGATCCATTCTGGCAATGGTGACTGCCGTAACGCGCGCCATTCGACATACACCCATCATACGGTGCTGTTGCAACCGCGCCGCTGTGCTGGCTGCAGCTTTTTTATCGGAGCATCACGCAGTGTCACGCCCTCGACCTTTGATATATATGGTGCACGCGTTCATTGTCGCCTCTTTTATATAGTTTTCATTATTGGTTGAGCTTTCTATAGGCTCATGTGCGCTCTGCGCCTTTCTAGAGAGTATGTATGGAATAATTTGATGCAAGCTCAAGCCGATGGTTATCTTAATACATATACCTTATGCTGTGTACCTGGCTTGGCGGAACGCGCCATTGCACTGCATTGCCCTGAAATTGCGATTGGCAAGACCTACACCGTGGTCGCGGAATCCTAAGGGTGGGTGCTGATGTGAGACGTGGCGCGCGGTAAGCGGATGCTAAACCCACCGAGCTCCAACAATCTGCGGTCTGTATCCGTGTGCTAATCACAAAAATTAATTTAAAAAATTGTAGATTTTCCGTCTGTTGCACCATATAAAACAGCTATTTAAACCATAAAGATTCTAAACTCACGTTCGTTACGTAGTTTATCTGGCGTTTGTCATGCATTGAGTAAAACACGCCCGTCAACCTTTCTTGAGCATCTAGAACCTGATCATCATTGTTAGATTTCAAACAAGAGATCTTATATAAAGCTGAATTTTGTCTGTCTACCAGTACGTGTGTTCGTATGTTTCAAATACCATTTCCGAACTGATCCGGACCAGACTTGCACACATGCACTTCAGGTCATAGGTGACTTTTCGTTCACTTTTATCGATTCATCAAAAGCTCAAGCTACGGGCCTGAAAGTTGGCTCGGGGAGATGGGGAGGGGGGGGGAGGGGGGTGAATAGGCTTGGTATTATAAAACCTATTATTAAATATTAGCGATTGGCGTGAGACGTGGGCACAGGGAAAGTTTGTGAGGAATAGGGACTGTGACCTTTATCAAGGTTTTTGACAAGGCTTGGCGGAACCGGGTAAGCCATATACTTAGGAGAACTCGAAAATTTCTTCGATTATTCGACTCTCGAATAATATTCGAAAATTAAAATTTTCGATAGGTATAATTGATGGCGAGAAAACGGCTCAGTAATACATCAGGAGACTTGAGAACCTAAAAGACTACTCCTCTGACGGTTGTGAGGAAACTTTTAGGAATCTAAAGAAGATTGCCAATTCAAACGTGGTGTCCCAGTGGTGAGATCGAGCACTTAACATAAAAAGACGGCTAAGTAGTATACTGTTCCGGGTTGCACGGAGACCATCCAAACTTGTATGATTTCATTGAATGTTGTATGTTGATGCAAAGAAAATTTCATAACTGTGTGGGCACTAGTTGATAATAATTAGCCTCCCACAATTTCTTTTGCCAAAGTTAGTTACCATTGCGTAGAATTGGCTTCAGTTTAGATCTACTATGGAGCGAATTGTCTATCGCTCTTCACTGTTGTAAAATTAGGGTAGGAGAATTGAAGAGAATATTTTGCCTAAGAAAGGAAACCAAAACTAAAAACTCTTACATCAAACTTTTGGTCACCGACTTTCATTATAAAATTTGCACCCAATTACAAAGCTTTTTACACTTACGCCAGATACACCGTAAGAAATGCAATGGTTCTCAAAAACAAAATTACATAATGAAAGAGTTTCGTAAAATTGTGTAGTAAAATTAGCATAAGTAATGTGTTGCATGAATTTAGTTTTTCAAAGAAGTTCTTTCAAACGCCATATTTCGAAGTGACTCTCTATGCAAAAGTTCTTGCCGTAATCTATACATATATAAAGCTGAGTGTTGGTATGTTTGTTAATGTTTTCTTTATAGAAATTTTTGTGTGTGGACCGATCAGCGCCAAACTTTGCACACATATGTTTTCGATACCGGTCCACCTCGTAGGCTATGTTTCGCGGCGAAATTTCCACTCCTTCTATTAATTTGTGGATTTTGAAGAAAAATGAACTCTTATTAAGTACTATCAAACCGCTTCCAATTTTCATGCGGTAATTTACTGCAGTGCTGTCAGAAGGTATATCTGCCGTGTGTTACATGGGGAACAAAAGGAAGCCAAGATAAGTTGAGTTTTTGGAATTACGCAACAAATATTTTGTTAGACCATTTAAGCCCGCGAGGCAGGTAAAGCTGGACATTCCAGCTAGTTTCACAATAATCAAAAGCTATGGATGATCTGCTTTTTGTTGCAAATGTAAGCTGAAGCCAGCCCTACAGAATGGTACCCAAAGTTGACAAAAAAGTTCGTAAGAGAAATATTGGCGATCACACAGTGTATAGACACTTTTGGACTACCCTGTAATGCTACGTATATCGATTCGAGCACTTGATGGTCGTCGATTTATATCATCGTCTCCCCGAGATAGATGGGGCGTGTCGCTGCGCTAATGAATTTCGCACACAGAACGATGGGTGAATTATTTTGGCAACTAATCATGCTTTTCTTTCCAGATCTCGATAGGAGTTGCTAAAGGTGAGCCGTACACGTTCAATCATTTCTTTTATATTACTTTGTCAGTTTTGACGCACAGCTGGTGAGGTTTGTACTCTAGCTGAATATTATGTGCTCACACTTCTTTCTTTTTATTTATTAATCGTATTTATTGAATTTGCTTTCGCGTTTCATCGAATTACTTCATTATGCTCACCTGTGCTTCAAATCTTTAACCGGCATCTAAACAAACAACATAAACATGGAGCACAGGTAAGCATAGTGAAGTATTTCGATGAAATAGTAAAAGCAAGTTCGATAAACACGACTAATAAGTAGAAAAAAAGAAACAAAAGCACGCAATATTCAAAAAGCGCTACATCCGCACCGGCAATGTGTCAAAACTGACACAATACTATGAAATAAATATAAATGAACATTCACGACTCACCTCTAGCAATTTCTATTGAAATCAGGAAAGAATAAACTTGATTAGTTGCAAAAACAACTCACCCATCGTTCTGCGTGCGAAATTCAACAGCTGTTCGGCTTTATCGATTCTGCGCCGTGGCTAATACCGTATCAGTTACGGCAACTTGCGGGCTTGTGCAGCGACACGCCCCATCTATCTCGGGGAGACGACGATAGATCCTCATCAAACTTCAAGTTGGTGTTCGTCGAATATTCGAATATTTAATGAACATCAAGTGATCGAATTGATGACCATCGAATATTCGACTATCGAATAACATTCAAAAATGAGAAGTTTCGAGCATTTGACTATCGAATATAATTCAAAAATCGAAAATGCCGAATGTTCGATTTTTCAAATCATTCGCATTTGAATAAAATGAATTATTTAAATAATCGAATGATCATATCATTTTGTCCAAAGTATAGTAAGGCAGCTGGTTTTTTATGCAAGGTAACAGTCACAATAATCGAGATGTTGTCAATCCTGCAGCCTTATTCAAATCTACAAGTGAAAAATGCCTGGCCCCCAACGACGACTGCCCCAATATTTACACCATCGTCGCGTGCGATCTTCTATCGTTTCCAACTCTGGAGTAAATGTGACACCCGAGGACCACGGGGTACTGTTTTGTTTTCCTTTGCTTCTTTCGCTTTTTTCGCATCTCATTACTGTCTACATCACAATATTGCAATTTCAATATTTTACTTGTTGCAGTTCATCTTTTCAAAATAAACGTGGAATAGCGATGTTCAGTCCTTAGTTTCTTTCCAAGTCACTTTCCCAGAACACTTGGGTAATTTAAAAATACAAATTTTCAAAGCTATCGCAGTTACTTTTTGAAGTGCTGAATGTTTATGTTGTATCCCGAAGTTCCGAATCATTTCCAGCACAGTTCTGGCACTGTGCCGAAAGTGTGCCGGGATTGCGCTGCAGAAGCCCTCATGCGGTTTTGAGCGGGCGAAGTAACAGTTTTCAACTTTCTTCAACACATTTCCCTAAGTTCGAAGTTTTTTCTTCAAAAGCGGAACAGTAATTAAGAACGAAAAAGCAAGCAGTAAAAGTTGTGCGTATGAGGCTGAAAAGTCCAAAATCCTAATATTATGAAATATCTTAAAAACACGAAAAAATTCTCAACTTCCGCAATCACGATGGGTGCAAGGAGAAAGTGAGCGCAAAGGGAAATAGGTAATTTATGCAGGACCTAACATAAAAAATTCATTTTCGGATAACTCTTCAAATTCGTAGTTCTCCATTATAAGAAGAAGCAAGAAGCGAGAATCAGTTGCAAATGGGCAAGGTTTACAATTAAAACCGTCGAAGAAGATCAAAAACTGTCATTTCGCGCCTCTTGAAACCGCATGCGGGCGGCTGCAGCGCATGCAGCACGGCATGCACGGCTTTCGACAGCCGGCATAGTTTGGCACAGTGCGAGAACAGTGCTGGAACTGTTCCGGAACTTGTGTACACGCATCGGGGCAATCGTCTTTGGGCATCTTTTTCTTCGCTTCATTGCTTGATCAGAAGAAGACCGTTTATGATAGCTCGTAAAGTAATATTCCGAGTTTAACAACTTAAACACATGAGGAAGCAAAAATAATTTTTTTATGGAGGGACCGAATTCAAACAAATGTGTGCATGATCAGAAAAAGGAAATTGACTATCAAAACATTCAAAACATGAATGATAACATAAACATGTACGTTTTTGTCTACGCTTGGAGCGAAACACTAGGTGTGACAATTTGGAAAGATTTTACATGAAAAGATGTGGTTAGCTTCGCTCGAGATGTTCCATATTCAAGTAATCATACCACCGCTTCATCTTTCATTTAGAGAGCGGTATTCTTCTTAGAACTCAAGAGAAAGCTTGTTTTGTCAAAGTGGCCTCTATGAATGAAATGTATACCATAGAGGGAGTAAGTCGCTGATTCCAAAACTGAATTCCTTACCTGCAGAACGTTTATGGACGAGGAGTTATGAGCGTTTTTTGGAGAGAAAAATTGAATGTGCATTTGAAATGAATTGCTAAAATCTCACTAGCCCCAAACAATGCAACCTAGTTGATATGTTCTATTTTGTTTTAAAGTGTTTACTTAACTGCTCTGATAATCATTATTGCTTCATTGAAGGGCTAGAAAAAGTATTACGGCTATTTTTTTCCTACTTGCACATTCATTTTTTTTTTTGCTCCAATAAGCGCTCATAACTCCTCGTCCATGAATGTTCTGCAGATAAGGAAGGCTGATCTGGAATTAGCATTTTATGTCTTTCAAAGTACTATAGATCCCATCTAAACATCACTTCGACTAAGCATGCATTCCTTGTTAGAATCTTGGTGTTTTGCGGAGCCTGGCAGGACGAAGTGTCAAAGCAAAAATCTACATTATAGTAAGCAATAGGTGTAGAGTAACTTCGGTTCGCGAACAACGCACCTTAGACCGGATTGGCGGCTAGAAGACGACCTCTCGCAATCGTGACGCAGTCTGCGTCTCTCTCGCGAGCGTGCTCTCCGGTCATTCCTTAGCCTTTATTAGGCCTCAAAGCCCTGCCTTAGACCCTCCGACCCCGTTGATTCAAAGGGTCTGTGAAATGGAAAGTGAAAGTTTTGCTAACTCATATTGGCGTAAGACTGGCAACCGACATCCCAATTTAGAAAAGTTGGGCAAATTTTTTTTACTCACAGTAAGCCTACGTGTAACTTTATATTTTGTTCCTTACACAAGCCTTTCGTGTAAATTTTACTTTGTTCCTACGCGGATACACACCGACTTTGAAGTCATATTGTGGCTTGTGCACTGAAGGGTAATATTTTACAGTTCTGAAGTGAAAGATTGCAAAAGAAAGCTCGTCACACATTTCGATCACACGTTTCATCCATAGTTCTTCTTAGCATGTTATTAATAATTCTCTGTTCAAACTCTAAAATCAGTGAAACATCATTACTTGTGCGCCGTAAATGACTATCTCTCCACAATCGGTAGTAGGAAAATTTAGATGATTGTTTCATTCAATCAAATTATTTTTACATAGTCTTCGTTCGCCCACTACTTTTCTACTGTATCTAATAGCTTCCATGCAGTCTATCGCGGATTCGATTAAAAATTTCCTTTATTGATTTATTGCAAACACTTTCCACTTTTACATTTGCCACCCGCGTGCCGGGCTCTTCCCAATTTTTATCATACAAGAGTAACGCCAATTAACTTGCTAATTTCGTTAAGGTCTAATTCTCGAGTGAAATTGAACATTAACACTGACATGTTTCCTCCTTTATATGTCCCATGCATACCTCACGCGATTTCAGCCGCGATGCAATTTGGCAACACTTCAACTGTTCATAACTCATCGTAAGCGCATTCTAATGATTACAAGAGGGTTTTTTTCGATTTCCGAAAGATGTACACAACGTGAGTTTGTAGTCTGCAGGTCTTAGACTGGACAAATCGCCAGATTGTTTGGCGACTGAAATCGCGTGAGGTATGCCCGTAGCCATAATAAGCCCGCGCGTTGCGCCGAATGCAACTTTGTTGCGTTCATCGAAAATAATTCATGACTGGAAGAGGAACGAAAAAAGCGGCGAGATTTCACAGGATGGAATCAAGCACGCAATTCCGCGCCCTCCACAGATGACCTCTTACTTCGGGTGAGTCTGTCTGTCTGTCTGTTTATCTCGGACCTAAGTATAGTGCGAAGTGCGAGCCAAATAAAATGGGGAAAAGAAACATGCATGCTTAGGTGATGCAGGGAATTGCAACAACAATTTCCCAGCACTTCTCTCAGAAGAGCATCTATTTTATGCCTGTGTAAATCACGCTTACCTTTAACTTAGATTTCCACGTTGGCCTACCTCACACAAAAACCTAAGGTATTTGGAAACGCGTCTTAGATTTTGTGTGTACTATAAGAAGGAAAACACACCTTGGAGGATCAGTGGGACATCAGCTGTGAAACTTAAATTAGCATAAAGGCAGAATGCGACGAATCCGATGATGAACATCCATAAGTAGAGTTTCGTCTTTGAAAGCTTCATAGATCTTAACCAGTAATACATGCGATCAGTTACAGCATGTGCAACATCATCATTACCATCATCATCATTTCTTTGCAATACTCAAGAATAAGAAAATCTGTAAAATATCATTGGAAGTCAGTCATTTTGACAGCTTCAACGCATATTATAGAGTTTTCTTTACATGTTAACGTCCGCTTGCACTTGCATACTTGTATGCACATCCCTGACTCCCGTTCAAGGTTTTCGTGCATTCGAATGTATGCCGCCATTTTTTCGGGCAGACGAAAACTTTTTAGCAAATTTTGTATTGCGTAATAATAGTGCAGCGAATGCCATACGGAACACATGGCGTCTCAGTAGATTTGAAATTAGGCCGTTGTAAGTAATTAAATAGTAGGTCGGCTCGAAAGTTCTTGCGTAATTCAAACAATTTTCAATAACTTCTCAATGCCTAAACCTAAATCCATGATCTTGTTCCCTAAAATTATGAGAAGGTATGCGCTTTAGTATGTGTGCTTACGCATAAGATTCGATGAGCTAGCCATCGAGAACGAAGGCCTTAAGAATGGGTTTTCAAATTTTGCGATTTTGAGTTTGGTACAGAAAGGAAGAAGAATCGCAGAAGGCAACTGGCTAGCCGAAACAGAAATCTGTAAAAATTACTTACACAGCAGAAGTCCACACGTTACTCTGGCAGCTTTGATCTTGTACGGTAACGCAAAAAAAAAATTCGTGACAAATGTCATTTCGCAAAGAAAATCCCCTCACTGCACTTTTTGCGCGAAATTATTTCTTGACATTCTAAAAAACATCGCAATCTTCGTGCAATTTTCAGTTCCAAACTGTGTTTCTGAGGAAAAACTACAGCAATAAGCGATTTATCCTATAAAATGACAAGTTTAACGAATTATTTGTTTTTGCATATCCACACGAGATCAAAGCCTACCAAAGTATTTTATGGACTCCCGCTGTGTAAGTAATTCTTACAGTTTTTCTCTGCTAGCTAGCGGCCCTCTGCGATCTGGCACCAAACTCATGTAAGTAATTTTTACAGTTTTTTCTGCTGGCTAGCGGCCCTCTGCGATTTTCACGCATCAAAGTCAAAGTCGCAAAATTTGAAGCCCCATATTTGATAGCTTCGTTCGCGATGGCTAGCTCAAGGAGTCTTATGAGTAAACGCCCGTCATAAAGCGCATGCCTTCTAATAATTTTAGGGAAAAAGATTGTGAATTTAGGTTCAGGCATTAAAAAGTTATTGAATTTTGTTCGATTTAGGCAAGAATTTTTTGAGTCAACTTAATAGTTTTTAGTGTTGTAAATTTATGCTAATTATACTTTCCTAAGAAAACGAAGACTTCATATAATCATCGTCAGAGCAACCAAGGGGAACTCCTGTGAAAGTCACCTGACCTCAGACTTCTTTTTTCAAAGAAAGGTTATACATGCAAAGCAGTGGCGTACCCAGGATTTCCGCTCGGGGGGGGGGGGGGCAACAAAAATTTTTCTCTGATGAAGGTGCATGGCGTCAGCCAGGCACCTAGAAAAAATTTTGGTACCCTTCTCAAAATTTCCGCGGGTCCCCGGAATTTTGTATAAGGCTAAACTGAATTTTTAAAAAAATTTAAAAAATTATTTTGATTACTTACGAGTATAAATAAGTCTCTTGCACATTTGTATAACTCATGTAAGTAACTTTCAAAAATTTCAGGACCCATTCTCGGGGAGGAGGGGGACGCCCCCTCCCGCTCTCCCCTTCTCAAAAAAAACAATTTGAACTTGCTCTGAGAATGATTTACATGTCTCATAGATTAGCGTCAAAAATACTCCTACACGATGATTTCGTGCATACACGTCCATGCACGCGTAAAAAGAGCGGAAAACGCTTGTGGGATTTTTGCCCAAAGAGCTTGGTCGTATTAAGCACTCAGGAAAAGGGAATTGGCATTCCTATTAACTTTAGCAATGCTCGTGCTTACCAACGTTAAACCTAAAATTGGGAATATGCGCTGCACATTTCAGATCATTTGGGTTCATCATTTCAAGGAGAGGGCTCAGATGAGTGATGGTTTTGCTCGATGACATCAAACTTCTTTGTTCAGCATTTGATCAGAGATACGTAGAAGAAGAGATAAAAACATATCTCTACAAATGCGTGTGCAAAACTCCAGATGAGGTGCAAACAACTGACTATCAACTTCAAACGCCTAGTGCAAGAATGAGCTCTGAGTTCTGCACCAAGTAAATGCATAAGTGTCCAAAGCTGTAATACACTGCACATAATGCAGCCCACGAACACATCACCTCTGATGTGAACATTGAAAAAAAAAGCATTTGCAGTTTGCAGTTTCCATGAAAAACGCCTTGATGCACAGGTAAGTTGCCATGACGGCGCTACATAAGGAATTTAAGCGATGGCTGACATCAGAAACTTGAAATTGCAGCACAAACTACTACATTCAAAGCATTTCGTATATTTGCCAAAGGGAGGAAAGAAGAATGCATAATGTGCATATTAGCAATTTGAAGGCAGTGGATCAGCAGAATGGACCCTTCTTGAATTTGGTGGATTTGGATAGTAGACCCCAAACACACTATAGCCACCCGCCTGCAATTCATGTGCTATGTCCTAGATAATGCGCTTTGAAACTCCACCAGCCCCGCCCACTCAATGGAAAGGGGAATCTTCTAATCTGCCGATCCATTGCCGAGCTCGTGTTCTACTAGATTTCGTGATGCAAATTATGTCTTCAAATCTGATTGTATGTCAAGCATTGAATGTAGTCCAATTGATTCTCCACAAAATATAGTCTTGCAGTACAGAGATTCGCGATAAAATCTGCGCTTGAACAATAATTAGGCCAATAATGCCGGCGTTGTGGGCGTGCAGGTGGCTGGCAACACTGAGGTGGCTGCTTGTTCACGCGCGAATTTTGCAGCAAATTCTTAACACCACAAGCACACTATATCAAGCAGGAAAATAACTAGTCTCTATGAGGGATATCTATACATATTCGGAACTCAAAGGTTGCCTGTAAGTTGCTAAAGATGTTCGTGTTATATAGAAATCTTCATGAATTGACCGTTTGAGCTGAATTTTGCTCCCACAATAATAAGCTACGGCGCAAAACATAGGCTAATTTTCGCGACAATTCTTTGGGTCCCTTTGTCGAACTATCAATTTGTTCACGCATAACTAGGAAATGAAGGGTTATCAAGTCATTTGTCTAAGTGAAAGTGAAAATTAACGGCACGTCCCATTCTGACTTTTTCGCTTGCAAAGCGCAGCGACAAAAAATGTACCTCAAGTAGGGTTACCATACGTTCAAAAATGAAGTATGCGCTTACTTTGAGGTGTGTAGGATTTCCGCAATATTATAAGCGCCAATTCTCAATGTCACTTCTATTCCAGCATGTAAGGCTTTCAACTGCAGCGTCATTGGCGCAACAGCTCTCCGCTTCCGCCCGGCCGCCTCGCGACTCTACGCCGCTTTCGCGAACATGCTCTCTGATCACCTTTCTACCGCGAGCGTAGGAAAGGCGGAGCCTCAGTTGATTGCAAGTGATTAGAGAGCATGTTCGCGGAAGAAGTGCTCACGCGGGGACGGCGATGTTGGTGCAAACTACACTGCAATTGATGAGCCCTATATGTCAAAGGATCTACTGTTGCGAATCTAAACTATGGACTCAAAAAACAGCATTAGTGACAGTCATCCATAAAATATATTCGATTATACGATTAGAGCAAGTTCTTTGTCGTGATACGTGGAAATATCAAAGGATCCCTAATCTGTAGCAGCGATTTAAGGAAACAAAATTTAGGCTACACTCACTTTTGTCGCAATCCACTTTGTGGGGCAAAATGCCAAAAGTGAAGGCATTGTTGATTTTTCTGTGATGAAAGCACAGAAAAATAGGTAGTAAGCAACCGATTAGAAGATGGCGCAATGAAAATGTTTTCAATGTGAGTGCTATGCTAATCACTGCCATCCCACTATGCTTACAAGTACATTCGTGGTAGCCGAGCGAACCTGTTAAGTAAAATAAGCACGCTTTTTAGAAAATTCCAACAAAAATGTCAAAGTAACAAGAATAATGGAAGCATTGTATTTTCGCGATATGATCTGTAACTTTATTTTAATCATACTGCTAAACTTTTACTATGTGATTTTATTTATAAATTTGGTTGGTCGACTTGGTTAAGAAATTACTGTCAGAACTCCAAATTTGGATAAACATTGAATTCGCAAGCAAAATACTTTGTATATAGGTCTTAGAGATCATAGCAGGTAAAGCTATGTGCACATTGATGTATTACTGAATTCAAAGAAGTAATCCGGGCGTAGCCGGGTATGCCAGCTAGTGCTTGATAAGCACTGATATCGTATAACCGGAAAAACTACCATAATTGATGGTCATTGCTTACAGATCTTTGCTTTACGCTAAGCGCTGGCATACATCAGACCATTTCGTCGCCTCGCGATTTTTCCAATAAGATAACTGTTACGAAAGCAGTGCATGCCGATCATCCTGTTTTCGGTAGTGAATAGCTAATTTGATTAGACGTGCCGGAAAACTATCACAAACAAAATGCAAGATGATCGACATGCAATGGAAACAGATAACAGTTGTCTCGTTTGAAGAATAAAATAAGGCGAGAAACCGCGATGTGATGCCCGGCCCCTTATTAGGTTGTTGCATAAGTTCTGTACGATTTGAATTTTTTGAGTTCAAAATGTCATAACTTCTTTCAGAGTCAACTTTTTTCCAAGATTTTAGTTTTTGTGTGTTGAGCAGTTCCTTGGCTATGAAACGCATATTGAGACCTGCGCAAATCCTTGTTAAGGAAGAAGCAAGAATGCAAAAACTTCACAGCGTTTTTCTTCGAATCTGTCTTTTTTGACATGGTAACGCTCCCTTATGAGAATTGATAGGCATCTTTTTTAACAATGGATAGATAAGAAATTTTCGTGGATTATTATGCAACATAAAATAACCCCTAGGGTCTGCGCTGTCGAGAGATTTTTTTGACCGAACAAAAAATTAGCCACTTTTTGACCTCGCTTCAGCACACGTGTGCATGCCTATTCATGAATTATG